GATCCTTGGAACTTTGGTGAGAGAGGATCTACTCCAAGCAGGAGCCTGTTCTAAAATGTGAGTTGTATACAGTCGTCTTCTACGAAGGGACATCGTCTACCATTTCTTCTTCCTTTCTCTTCTTTAAAAAGAGATCATTTGGCATGTTCTTTCAGCTTACAGAAGCGTAGCCAGCCGCCCCTCCTTTGGGTGGGTTAGATCAGCCTCTCCAGGCAGTACTTTGAAGTCTGTGAAATACATTGGTAATTTAGGCTGACACACTTGGCAGGCCGTTTAAAAAGCAGAATTGTTTGATGCCATGACACAAGAGATCTGTTAACTGAGTTATAAAGAACTGAGTCACTTGCAGCAAACCCTAATTTTGCATGAAATTTAAATGGGTCTTGTTTTGTGGCGTGAGTGAGCTTTGTGATGTAACGTGGTCCCTCAGCGCCCAGTCTTAGGAAATGGAGTTGGCCATACCTCGAACTTCTCCAGGGAGGAGTGGGAGGAAGTGGGCATGTGGTTATTTTTCTCTGTTTTCAGTTCAGCCACAGTAGAGGGACTATCTGAGCAAGATGTGAGGAAGCCAGTCTAGAGGAGTGGTAGCTTGTGGGAAATGTGGAAAATCAGCCACTCAGTGGTGGGGGTTGCGAGGGGCTGCCAAAATAATGTTTAATTTAATTCTTATGGTGGGCTGGGTACAATGCTCTAAAATTCAGTGACCTTTCTTAAAAATATTGCGGAATTGAATATAAAAATCTATAGCTCATTTCTGTGTGTGTGTGTGTGTGTACGTGTACAAAATGTGTGTGCTATAAACATCCTGAAACCTTGGAGTTTAATTTTTTTTTTTAAAGTCCTGTATTTTTTTTTATTTTGTAATTTTATTATTCTGATCACCAAACTCACTTAATTTGTAGTTTTGAATTTCTAAGTCTTTAAACTGGATGTGGATCCTCTTATCAGAAAGGTAAGTTTTACATAGTTTGCGATCAGGAAAGAAGTGTCCCAAGGCCAAGGTTACCAAAACAGCTTCCAGTTTGGGTTGCTAAGCTGGCAGCGTTCCTGCCGGCTGTTTCTCGCAGCAGAGTGGAGCAACTAAGTGGTTTCAGTAAGTGTCTGTGTGTTAAAGTGGAAGCATGTGACACCAGCAAATGGGTACCACATGGCAGAGATGCCCAGCAGCAGCGAAGTATTATGAAAGGGATAATTTAGTTCTTTTCCGTTTCATTTTTTTCCCTTCAGGGAGGGAGAGACAGGAGGGAGAGAGAGAGAGAGAGATTGAGAGATCGAGATTTCCTACAGAGGAATCAGGCCCCTCATTTTAGTTTATGCATGAGGTTGGTTTATTGGGGTTTTATGCCTGTCTGATTTTAACATTAATCTTTATTCTTATACCTTCAAGTAAAGCTTTTAGATACCACATTTCTTTATCTTTGCAAGTGGAAATGACAGAGACAGCCGGACGGCACTCTCTTTCTTACATCAGTTGACTCTTGTGCTGACTTAGAATGTGCCCCGTTGTCTGGTCTCGCTTGTTGAATAGTTGTTTGTGTGGTTACCTCCCTTTCCAGGCTTTATTCAGTTATTCAGAAAATAACTGTCAGGGTTTGGTTTGTGCAGGCCCTGTGCTGGCTCTGACCGTCATCCTCTAGGGATGCAGACAGGAAGTGCCTTGCATATAGGAGGTACTGAGAATGTTACGTGGCAGGGACTTGACTTCTCCATGTGTGGTCAGCCAGTGTTGCACTTAGCATACACTTTCCATGAGTGACAGTATTGTTGATGGCTAGAAACTTTAGTTAACTGACTTCTAAAAATAATTTACTCCAGCTGCTTACCTAGAGTTCTCAGAAACCTTTAGAACAAACATCTGTTTATCATATTAAAAACATTTCAAGAAAGGACACCCTTGACTATATTAGGTAGGTAAACATCCATACATAAGTTTACCCTTATAGTATTTGTTGTCATTTAAATCCTTTAGAGATTTAGATTTCCACTGTATAGTGGAAAGAGCATGGGTTTTGGAGTCAAGTGATTGGTTAAATCCTGGTTTTATAACTTATTAGCTATGTAATTAATTACAGTTAGCTCCAGCCAGTAGGCTTGGCTTTGTGCAAAATCTTTCTGCACTTTTGTTTCTCCATTTTATTCTCCCCATTGTATTTTATAGGGATAATAACACCTCGCTTACATGGTTGTCTTAGGAATTGAGTAAGAATATAGGTATGTTGACAGACAGGTACTACCTGCCACATGGTAGATAAACAGTTGACATTAGTTTCCCTTTTCTTTTTGCCCCATTTATTTGCTCACTTTTGTATAAATTGCTTTCGTGGTTGAGTATAGTGTCTTTTTTTTTTTTTAATCCTCACCCGAGGACATTTTTCCTTTTTTTTTTGTTCAGGTAGAGTGGGAGGGAGAGAGAGGAACAGAGAGAGAGAGAGAAACATCGATGTGAAAGGAACACATCGAGTGGCTGCCACCCGCACAACCAACCAGGGCCGGGGACAAACTGCAACCGAGGTACTTGCCCTTAGCGGGAACCGAACCCGGGTCTCTCAGGACCGCAGGCCGACGCTCTAACCGCTGAGCCAAACCGGCCAGGGCAAGGGTATAGTGTCTTAAAATACCCACGTTTTATTTGGATATCTGGAAGGTAAAAGGCATTCAATATTTTATGTCATTTATGCACTGGGAATTATTAATCAAAAACCTTCAAGGCTACCTGGCCAGTGTGGCTCAGTGGATTGAGCGTCGTCCCATGGACTGAGAGGTCCCGGTTCAATTCCCAGTCAGGGCACGTGCCCGGGTTTCAAGCTTGATCCCCAGTGAGGGGTGTGCAGGAGGCAGTCGATCAATGTTTCTCTCTCACATTGATGTTTCTATCTCTCTCTCTAAAAAGTCAATAAAAATATATTAAAAAACAAACCTTTGAGGCTGAAGTTTTTCTGAAAGAAAGGGTTTGTTGAGCTGTATGCTAGCCGGAGAAAGGACAGGTCCTGGCACGGCAGTCTGAGCCACCAGCCGCAGGGTATGATGGAGATGGCAGACATGCCTGCCTTCCTAGGCCTGGAGTTTGGAGAAGAAAGATGCAGGTTGTTTGGAAAGAATGTGTAGGAGCTATTGATATGGAGGGCTGGCAAAGGAGAAATGAGGGACAGTTCTGGGATAGGTGCATAGTCCACAGGGTGCTTTTGGATTGGTTGTGGGCAACAGTCTGGAGAGTTCCCACGTAACCAGGATGCGGAGGCTCTGCTGGTCAGCTATTCTCTCTAGATTACTGAGGAAATAGCAACCTGAAGTGAATGCAGTTTCAACGTACATTCTGGAATGTAAGAGTCATTTGTTGGTTTTGGCTCTTCTGCTGTTAACTGATCAACCCCTTTTTGTCTCTTCCTTGTACCCTACTGCCAGCCCACTCACTGTCTTTGAACTTGGGACATCTCAGAATTTTTCCTTCTCAGAATAAATCTGTGAAAGAACTTTTGCTCAATACATGCTTTTTATTTTCAGTTTGTTCCCTGATAGACATTAGTTTGTTTTTTCTCTTTTCCTACTTTGAAAAGTGAAATGAGACCAACATTCATTCAGTGTTTGTGTTAGAGCTGTGGTTTCCTCTAGAATTTATTGAAGGGCCATGAGTATACATACCCGTTATAAAGTAATGATCACCACTGAATTTGAGTCTACCTTTATATGCTATACACTTCTTTTTTTTCTTTTTTTTTAATGTTTTTATATGGGTTTAGATTTTTGTAACCATCATTTTATCACCCTTAGACCCCCTTGTGTTTTCTATTGTAGTCACATTTTTTTTCTCCACATCTGACCTCAGGCAAACACTATCTTTTCTTGGTTGCTATAGTTTTGCCTTATCCAGAATGTCATACAAATAGACTCATGTTTTGAGACTGGCCTCTTTTATTCAGCATAGTGCCCTTGAGCTTAATCTGAATTGTCAAGTCTATCAATAGTTTGTTCCTTTTTATTGATGAGTACTATTCTGTTCTATGGATGAACCAGTTTGTTTATGCAGTCACCCATCAGGGTTCATTTGGACTGTTGCAAATGAACAATATTACCTGTTGAAAAATATTACCATTTCTAAGTTCCGAATTTCAAAGCAGAATAATATATACTAATCAAGGGAAAAATGGGAAATAGATAAGACTTTAAAAAATTATCCCTGCCCACATATCACTGCTGTTAATATGTAAGTGCATTTGCTTTTCCCTGTGCGTGGAGTTGGTTGGCTTGTGGTTATATTTACATAGTATAATTCTTATCTTCATATATTGCTTTTTTTCCTGTTTTAATTGTGAAAAGTGTATATAACATATGGCTTAAAAAGATTACTGTCAAGCAAACACAAGTGTAGCCATCAGCATAAGAAATGGAATATTGCCAGTATCTTAAGCTTCAAGACTCTTCCCTATTGTATCACCTTCCCTTTGCCCAGAGGAATCACCGTCCTCACTTTTGCGATAGTCATTCCTCTTTGCTTCATAATTTCCATACTTATATATTCTTCCTGTTTCTTTCATTTACTATTTCAGGTATTTGCTCTAACTCTGTTATAAATCTTAGTAAAGGTGCTTTTTTTCCTAACTTCCCTATTAGAAATAATGCTTTGTGCAGAAATAATATATTTTTACATGTCACCTTTTATGTGTATTTAGGATTATTTTTTTTATAGTATTGTGAATAAAAGGTTATGAAGTTTTAAGGCTTTAATGTATGTTGCTAAATTGCTTACAGAGTCTTTACCAGTTTGTACCACTGAAGCCTCTTGTTCCTGGGGCAGCACTTGGGTTTCTATACCTACCCCAGATAAAGACACCTCAGAGAATTTGGTGGTTGAAAGACCATATTTTTTGTATTTGAGGTTGAGTGGTTCTCTGTGTGTTATGATTTTCTTTTTTGTTGGCTGCCCAAGTTTGTATTGGGTTAAATCAAATTCTTAAGTAATGGTCACCATGGCTTTGTGACTGATTTTTCTTTTATCTTTTCAGATGTAGGTGCAAGAAACTGCAGGCATCTCTGCGCTGTTTATTACAACAAGAATCCTGGGTTTGAGATCATCCATGGGCTGCTGGACAGAATTATGCAGCTGCTTGGCGTGCCTCCCGGAGAAAAGCAGGGGGGATATGTGATAAGAGCGTCCGAAGGTAGGACAGAGTTAGTAATAATGTAATGAACGGGCCTAGCCTCAGTTTTGATAAAGTTTTCGTTTGTTTGTTTGTTTTCATTTAGGGGGAGGCGGGAGACAGAGCCTCATTTCAATTACTTGCTAGTATCTTCTAGAAGATACCCCTTTTCCTCCTACGTTTAGGGAAAATGCTTCTCAGCTCCTGTGCTGCACAGTGTACTCTCATCCCAGCTGGGCATTGCGACCCCCAGTTCCTGGCACTGTCAAGCCACCCCCACCGTAGTGAACCCACAAGTCCAAACGGGAAGCTGCGAGAACCTAAGCTGGTGATTTGTGCTCCAGAGCCACCTGCCTAAGGCCTTTACGGCAACAGTTATTCTGAAAGACTTCACATGTATGTTAATGAAATCCTAAAGCTGACTGACGAAGGGTACAGCACAGTCTGCAGGAGAGTTTAAGTTCGGCTGAGCAGCGGGTGTGCGCACTCCCTGTGCTCACTTCCCATTATCCGAGACTTCTGAAATGCTCACTTCTCATAGCCCTAGGGCTGCAGTCTGAGTTTATTTTGTCAGGCAAGAGATCCAGAAACAACTTGAAAGAAGTACTTTACTACTTGTTTCTGCTATTTACCTGGTAATTTTTTATAGCTATATTTGGCTTCTTAAAATTTTAACAAAACATTCATTTTACAGAAGTTACTTAGCAGTTACTTGTAGTGGTATGAGGTTGGGGGACATGTTTTAGTTTTTCCCTTAGATTTCTTTTTTTTAGTCCTCTGGGATTGTTTATTGTTTTTGGTTTGTTTTAATTTGAAAACATCTTTGAAAATGCAATAATCTGGAAATATATGGGCCCTTTTAGGTTGAAGATTTGTGGGCTTGTCTGTTTCTAATAATTAAAATTGAGAAATTGAGTATTGTTTTCTACCACACCTTGAATTAGAAATAACCAGTGAAGATGTGTTATGCTTCTGGAATGCTAGAGTGTCAGAACTGCATCTCGGTGTTCATCAAGTCCAACTTCCTGGTTTGACAAGTGAAGTTAAGTGAGTCAGGCTGAGTCACCCATGTAGAACCTGAGGTCTCTGCTTCCCGGTGTTCTTTCCACAAGGCCAAGTTGCTTGCCTTCTTTATACCTTTTACCGTTAAACAAAAACCTACGAGGCTGACAGTTTTTCTGAAAGAAAGGGTTTGTCGAGCCATATGCTAGCCAGGGAAGGGCAGGTCCTGGTGCGTGCAGTTCGAGCACCCGCAGCATGGCGCAGTGGATCTGGAGAAGATATAAGTTGTTTAGAAAGAATTTAAATTAGCGAGATAGATGGGGTGGGAGAAGGTGAAGCAGGGCAGGTTCTGGGAAGGTGTGGATTCCAGCAGGGAGTGGGTGCTTGATGATTTCAGGTCGGTTGTGGGCAGCAGTCGGGGAAGTTCACGCATAATCGAGATGTGGTGGCCTCTATTGGTGAGCTGTTCTTTTTGATAGGAGCTAAAATTGTGAGCAGTCTCTTGTTGAATTTGGTCAGTGGCTGTTAATGGATTAACTCTCCGTGTCTTCTTCCCACCCTCCGATCTGCTATTATTTAATTTAGGACAGCTCAGAATTGTTTCTCCTGTCATGACTCATTCACCAGTTTACTTTTCGAGAATTCTGTAAGATCTGCCTTAAGGTCATCCATGTTTACCGCAACATGGAAGCTGATGTGACACAACTTTACCTTCTGAAGTCCTCGCAGAAATCTTACCGTATCAACAGATAAACTGGATAAAAATCACTTCTCTGAAACAGATGATGCCATGTACATGAGGTCTAATTTTTTTCTTACTTGAAAGGTTGCAAAGAGCTGAAATGGTTAATTGGAGCATAATTTACTGTTTTTTTCTTTATTATTGAAAGTATTACAGATGTTTCCCCCTTTTTTCACCATTGACATAATTTATTGTTGATACACTTGCATATGTAACTTTTACATTAATGATGTGTCTGTAAACCATAAGGAAATGTCTTTTTTTTGTTTTCTGGTGCGTGCCCCTAGCGGGAACCAAACCCGGGTCTCTCTGGTCTGCAGGCCAATGCTCCAACCGCTGAGCCAAACCGGCCAGGGCTAAGCCAATATCTTAAAATTATGACTCTCCTGCCTCAATAAGCTCCTTAAACATTTCTTTCCCAGAAAAAGCTGAGTTTCCAGCCATGAGGCAGGCTTCAAGAGACAAGGACAGGTAGGACACAGGCTCTGCTATTGAGCCTGCAACAGGGAAGACCACTGCACGCCAATGCTCACGCCAGGCTGCCCACGAGTGCCTTGAGGTTTCCAAGGGGGAGGTGGGCAGCTTCTTGAGGGCATCTGGGAAAGCATTCGTGAGCTTCTGGGAAGTGGGATGGGCCTCTGAAGCAAGGACAGGCGGGGACAGAGGAAGCAAGGCAACCACATAGAGCCAGGAATGACAGGGAACGTGGCCTGGTGCAGTTTGGTTTGACTATAGGGTGAGGAAGAAGCTTAGGACTGTATTTAGAGTTCTGAATGCTAGAATAAAGGATCTTAGCTAACTAGGGGGAAGATACTAAAGCTCCTTCTTCCTTTATTTTTTTAAGTGGGTGAGTGATGATTAGATCTTTACTTCAGAGAGATTAATCTGGCAGCAGTATGAAGGTTGGGTTGCATACAGAGTAGGGGTGAAGAGATGGGTGAATAAATTATAGTGTATTCTAGAGCAGTTGGAGTGAGGACTTGAACTTGAATGTTGCATGGATATACTGAAAAGAAGACTGATATAAGAAACTAGGAAGATAGAAGCTACAGCACTCAGCATTTGGAAACATTCATGATATGTGCCACTTGGAACTTTTTGTGATACAACTAATATGTATTGATTTCCTTTATTAAAGTCAGATTTTAATCATTCTAAACCTATGAGACTAATTTGAATCCTATTTATTTATTTTAGCACCGAAACAATATGTATCCCTAATATGTAGATGTCTGGTGTTTTGGTTTGGAGTGTATTTTTTTAAATTAGAAAATACATTCATAAACTGTAACCACTTATGATGTATTTGTAGATCTTTATGTTCAGTTTTTTAGACCAAGTTGTTACTATGGTTTTTTTATTACATTTGAGGACAGAGTCAAGCTTGTATTTCCTTTTAAATTCATTTTGACTCTCATCATAGAATACTGTAATGTTTTAAAACTTTTATGTCTATGAGATGTCTTAGATTTATGAATCTGAGAAACTTTGGTACAACTTCTTTATATAGTGTTTGGCTTGGATCAGTACATATTTCAGTATCTCCTACTGATTTCTTTGTGAAAAGACAGGTATTTACTTTAAATGTCTCTATCACCAGCACTGGCCACATAATTTTTCACAGGATGCTTTCTGTAAGACCAATCAAACCAAAGACGATTAGTGTCGTTATAAATAATAGCTCCTCATTTCTCATAGGAACTTCTACGTCTATTTTGATTATCCAGTGACAAATACAATCATCTTTTTTTTAATGGTAAAAGAAATTAAGACCTAAGAGACGTGGCTTGTCAAGTCAGTATTAGTTCTTCATCTAAAATTTCATATCCACATGAATCTCAAAAATATCTCATATAGTTATATCTCCTGAGTAAGTCTGTAAACACAAGAATTTGGTTGCTGAGGTGTGTTTAGCCAAATCATCTTTTCAAATTTATATTTTACATGTAGTTTTTTTTCTGCTAAGAAAAGGTCTTCAGAGCATCAGAAACTAGAGTAGAAGAGATTAAGAACGACTGTGTCCTTCAGTCTTGATCTTGATTACGGAGTTGTCTTCTGTTACCGTGGCATATGGTTTACCTTTTAATAATTAAAATCCCTGGTGGCTTTGCATTATAATTGAGCTAAGTCTGTGCACCAGAGACGCCTGCTAATGTCAGTCCACTGGCCGTCATACTTCATTTCTCCCTGTCCTTTCTAGTGAACACACCCGTTTTCTTTGTGCAGCCTTGTTTGGAGGTAGGGATGACTGGGACGGAGCCCTATTCCCCTTTGAGGAACTTGGCCCTGTTCATTGTAAGAGAAATCTGGAAACTCCTTTGATTGGCCATCACGTGGATCCCGAGGAGTTCTGTAGACAGTGGCGTGGGACCTTGCTTGTCATGCAGGCAGCAGCCGGGGCGTGCGGGCCCCTGCCGTGCCGCCTCGCCTTCCGGTTTCATCTGCTGGGCTCCCTTGCAGTTGAGAACATCATGTGAGACAGGCTGTCGAGCTGCTGCTAGAATAAGCTGGTGGTTGAGTGGAAACAAAGAAAGAAGAACCTTTAACTTTTTAGCAGACGGCGACGCATTGTGAAGGTCTCAGAATGTTTTCGTGGCGTTAGATCAAATACTGCGGCTATGTATGTGCTCTTTTCCAGGCCTCTTCCCCCTGGCTGCTGTGGTTTTTTGCAAGCTAAATTATGTATGTTAAAATGCATTTATCCTTTTCAGAAACCACTTCTGGGCAGGGAAAATTCTCCACATTTTTGTGTTTCGATCAGTTATGTGGTTCCCGGGCAAATCAGTGGCAAAAGCCATTTCTTATAGAAGGCAGGGGCCTTTGTGTGGGATTGGCTGCAGCGACTGAGTTAATTTCCACCTTTAATTTGTTACCTATTTCAGTTTTGTTCATTTACAATTCTACAGAAAACTTTAGGTTAGCCTGAGACAAGATTTCTGATGGACAGAAGTTTTAGAACTTCTAGTTTTGACAATTCTTGTTTTCATGCTGCTTAGAATTCATTTGTGAAATGAAAAATAACCTTGTAAGTAATATGCACATAATCCTGCACCATATGTACCACAGCGGCTGTTCAGACACCTTCTGTTACAGTAACACCTAATGATTATTGACGTGACCTGTGGGTCATGACCTTTTTCCTCTTTTAGGACACCTGTGAAAGATTTCAGACGCTAGAAACTGTGGGTGAAATTGTGATATTTCCCTGGTCTTCCACTGGTTTTTAGTGTAATGTGAGCTTGGGAATATGTGCTGAACAGCTTGTTGAAGTGAAGGT